AAAAAAATAGGAGAGAATTGGCTTTATTGAAATTTAGGACAAACAACAATTAACCAGTTAAAAGAAAGAAATGCCATAAGAAGTATTGATTATGGGGAAGATATCGAGAGAAAAAAACCTGATGGCATAATAACAGAATACAAAAAAGTTATTGCTGTTGTTGAATGAAAAACTCCCGGAAATTTTAATACTCTAAAGAAAAAAAACAATGCTATTTTTCAAGCAACGGAAGTTGCTAAAAGGCTAAGAACAAGTCTAGTTATAGCAACTGATGGTCAAGAAACCCTTTGAATCAACGTTGAAACTGGAAATAGCATAAAAAACGATGATGGAAGCAAATTTAAGTATCCTTTTAATCAAGGAGATCCAAAATTACAGGAAAAAATAAAGGAAATTTTGTCATCCATTAGCGAAAAAAACGACACAATCTTACCAATTAAATTGGTAGATCCAACTGGTTTAGCGAAGCAAGTTCAACAAGATATTTGAATAGCTAGTCGTAAATCTCCCGAAGTCTGCTTATATACTTTTGCTGAATTATTTATCTTCAAGTATTTAAGTGATTTAGGTATTTTGCCAGAACTTTGTAGTTTTGAAAAACTAGTTAATTCATACAAGAGTAACAATTCAAGTGATGTATTGTGGCACTACGCAAATAACATAAGACCAAAAATTAAAGAATTGTTTCCCGAAGGTTCAGATAGAACGACTTATTATAAATGGAACTGTTTTTGTCAGTGAGAGTCAAGGTAAAGCAGTAAGTATTCATTATGACACTGTCTTTAAAGATGTAGTTAAGAAATTCGAAAAATATGGCAAATTAAAAAACATTGATCCCGACTTTAAAAGCAAATTATTTGAAAGTTTTTTAAAAGAAAGTATTAGCCGAAAAACAAAAGGACAATTTTTCACTCCTCTAAAAGTTGTGCGAGCTATATGTAAAATGGCAAGTAGCGAACTAAAAGAGGGAATGAAAATTTGTGACCCTGCTTGTGGGGTAGGAAAATTCCCCTTGGAATTTATCAAAGATAAAATTGATAATTTGTTTCGTGTTGAGAAAGGAAAAATAATCACAAAAGTAGAAATAATAGGTTTTGATATAGGATTTGACAAGGATGAGGAAAAAACTATAATTCTTGCCAAAGCAAATATGCTTATTTATTTTTCAGAGTTGATAAAAAAGCATAAGGGAAGAACTAAAGAATTTGCTGAATTGTTCAATAAAAGTTTTGAACTGAAAACTTCAAGATTTGGTACTTTATCTGAAAAATCCGAGGAAGAATACGATTTAATTCTTACTAATCCACCCTATGTAGTGAGTGGAACTAAAGGCTCAAAGAAAGAAATAAATAAGGAAATAAAGGAAGTTGAAGAACTCAAAGACTATTATAAAGCTGATGCCATGGGTCTAGAAGGATTGTTTATGGAGTGAATTATTAAAGCCTTAAAACCAAACGGCAAAGCATTTATAGTCATTCCTAGTGGAATTTTAAATAGACAAAATGATGAAAAATTAAGAAAGTTTATTTTAGATGAATGTTATCTTGATGCTATTATTTCACTTCCTATTAATACATTTTTTCACAATTCCAAAAAAACTTACATTTTAGCCGTAACCAAAAAAGAAAAAAATGAAAAAGGAAACTCGGGGGAACAAACTGATCCAGTATTTACTTATTTAGTTAGTGGAATTGGAGAAACTTTGGACAAAGATAGATTTGACACTGACCAAGACGACTTAACCGAAGCCGCGGAGTTGTTTAATTTTTTTAAAGGAAATAAGAAAAATTTTCATAAGTTTCAAAAAGTAAAGCCCGACATGAGATGTAGATTATGAGACATTGAAAAATTTAACTCTAGTAAGAGTTGAGTGATTGACCGATGATGAGAAAAAGAAGAATTGATTGAATTAGGTATCATTGAGAAAGAAAATATTGTTGATCTAAATACTTTTGGTGAGATAGTTGAAAGCATATCAGACAAATTGAGAAACTTCAGCAAACTTATAAAAGAAATCAATAAAGGAGAAAACTCGCTAAATAATTACAAAGAAGGAGTCTTGCTTTCCGATATTTTTGAAATTAAAAA